AAAAAAAAAAAAAAAGAAAAAAACCTCTGTGCCACGGCTTTTAAGGTCACTAACCGTTCGCAAACGGAAAACGCTGGTCCTCTGAAATGAGACCGCACTGCAGGAAGCCGGGGCGATGGCGGGGAGCCCCAGTGGGCCGGGGCGATGCCCAACCGGCGCCGCTGGCTGCGGTATACGCGACGCCGCCGCTTCGCCTTGTCCCCGCGTCCACGTGTGCTGCCGGGCGCGTTTGGAAACAACAGATGTTTTTACATGGAGAGATTACCGAGTGCCGTATGTTAATACCGCTCGCCCTTCAGGAAAAAAAAAAAAAGAAAAAAAAAAGAAAAAAAAAGAAAAAACCCAAACAAACAAACAAAAAACCCACACACAAACTTTTCTCCTTTTGCCGAGCTACTCCGGCCACTTAAAGGTATACGTCAGCGAAGTGAACCCCGCCGGCGTGTTCTCGGTGCGGTGCAGCAGTGTGTCAGATCCGCGGGACGGGACGAACAGACCCCAGCTCGTCGCTTCAGGTGATTGGTTCGGTGTTACGGCTACCGATTACCCGATTCCTGATCAGTTTTCATGAAGTCAGTAACACATAACTGCGTTTTATCAATGTCACCCCAGGAGCGCTGTAAAACACTATGACTCTTTCATTATTATTATTATTATTGTAGATATACCCTTATTTCGTCATTAATCCCACTTATTTTGTTTTCTTTGGAAAATCTAAAAAAAAAACCCTCTTGAAAACGCTTCAGAGGATGGATGGTATCGTATCAAGTTTTGTTCTTGAGCCACAGATTAGTAGGAACAGTGCATGCATGCTGGGTGGACACAAGATTTTTGTTTGTTTATTGGAAATAAGTATTCCCTTGCAGTGCTTGAAACCTGAAGACTGGAGTGTGAAACATGAGAATCTGAAAGTGAAACCGACTGGAAGGCAGGAAAAAAAAAGAAGAAAAAAAAAACACACAACCAAAAACAGAAACAGACGAATGTATTTCCACTTTCCATGCTGAGGAAAGCCCCAGAAGCAAACACCATATATAATAAAATATGCTTTAGATTTGAAAGAAAATTATTCCAGCTGCGGTCACTGGATACAGCCTATGTTGTTATTTTCTTTTTTTTTTTCTTCCCCCTTTTTTTCTTTAATATCTGATTATTATCTGCTTAATTGTAAAATTCATGTGCATTCAGTGGGAACAAAGTGATATAATTCACTCTTTCCTTTGGTTTCTGATTAAAGGTTGGAAAGAAATTTGTATCCCACAGGAACTGCTGCACGTTGCCTATGTATTTTGAAGGAGTCATTTCCAACTGTAAGTGCAATTTTCATCGCTATAGATCTGTCTGGTTGGAGCTTTATCATTAACTGCCCCTTCAAACAACATAATTGCCAAGCAGGTGAAATATGTCCTGTAATAATACTTTCTTTTAGATTGTCATTTTATGCAGACAAAACAGTTACAGCTTTAATAGGTTCTGAGTGATGATTAACATATTTTTAATTCCCTTCTTTTTTATGCAGTTTCTTCATAATCCTTTCTTATTCCTTAATTTTAACTTTTTCAGAGTCATAATTATAAAACGTGTTTGTGCAGTGCAGAATACAAGCAGCTCTCAACTCCATTTTTAAATGTTGTTAATAGCTGAGATTGGAAAGGATTCAAAAAAACAAAAGCAAAAATAAAAACAAAAACAAAAACAAAAAAACCTCAAAGAATGATCACATGCCTGGAAATGATGTTTCAATTTTGAATACTGTAAATTCGTCGCTGTTAGCCCAAGGACGTTCCCAGGTCTGACATGAACATGAGCTGAGAGAAAAGTAGGAAAAAAAATAGGAAAGTCAAGGATATGGTAGCACATTTAGGCTAACAAGAGAGTCAACTCTGCAAGTTTAATTCTTCTATTTTTAATTTAGGGTTGTATCATTAATGTTAAGTGGGGTTAAAGCCCAGAAAGTGTATTCTACAATAAATAGCAACCAGAGTGGAAGCAGGCTTTACTACATGACCGGTATTACAGAAGAAAATCAGATACATAATCCCCATGATGTATTCTGGCCATATAATTATCAGATCTGTGACTATGTATAGAACTTATAATCTCTGGTAAGACAGGTACGTACATAACTGGGGCAGAATCTTTCAGTTTTTCCCGGAGGAAGGGAAATGTCTGCTTCAATTAGGGGTCTAGAATTATGATTTTTCTCACTATGTGGGATACTGTGGGAAATTTCTGTACTCCTTAACTCTCCTGGTGACACAGCCTTACCTTGCAGGAATGCCACACACTTTCCAGTGAATGCTGCAGACTTGATCTGCTTTATGATGAACTTAGTTATAAGGCTATCATTCTTTTACAGGGAGCAGGAACATGTAACAGGTACTTCCTACATGCCAGGAAATCGAAATACAGAGCACTTGACATTTGTACAGGATCAGGCCCCTGGTATGCAGAAACTTACATAAACTCTATTTTGTTTTTGTTAAGTACTGTGGGGAAAAGGTTAGATTTGGAGGAGAGACTTCAAAGAGCAAGAATAGTTCTGATGAATTACAGGTATGGACAATTGGTATCTTTTTCATCATTAACAATAGTATTGTTAATAGTATTGTTAATAATAGTAGAAAGGTACTAACTACAACATAATGTTTTTTCTTTTTTTCTTGGTCTGCTTTTGAATAAGTTTGCATTTTCTTGCTTAAAATTTATTTTACTGTTATTAACCTTTTGCATCCCATTGTGTGATTTCTATGCTTCCGGGTTGTTTTTATCAGTTCACAGTTCAAAGATGGCTTCAAGATTAAATGCATGATCTTATTTTCTTTCCAGACTGGAAGGAGAGCTTAATAAAAGATTCTCTGCCCCCTAGTCTTCAGCTGATCCCTAATTTTGAAGCATCTTGCTATCACAGAATTTCCTTCAAAAGTAATTATATGACTTTTCTATGCAGTATCTCATTCTTTATCTAATACATACATTTTTTCTCTTATCAAAACAAATATATTATTTCAATTCACTTCTATTTTTTTTTTCTCTGCCTACACTGAAGCAAATACTGTATACTTAATATATGCATATAGTGCACCCAGGTCTTTACAAACAGAGAACAAGAGAGGAAGACCTTTAGAGCAAATTTTTTCTTTTGTGTGGCATTGGGAAGGGTACTTCATGCCCTAGTTGTCTTAAAGTTCCTGTGAGCTGTTGGATAATCCTGAAATTTATTCCCACAAGCAATATCTTAAAGGCAAGTATAGTGATTTTTTCATTTCTAATAAGAAAACTATGCTAATGCCCATTGAATAGTTTGCTGAAATGAACAAGGTATATCTTTTCTGGTGAAGCAAGATATTTTATGGGGTGCCACATCAGTATGAAATTTTGTTTTGGAAGCCACATGAATAATTGTGTTAACAGACAGCAGGATAAGTAGGGCTTCTCATTTTGTTCAGAAATAGAGAGATCTTCTGAGTTGTGAAAATAGGTCAATTTTTTTTTTTTTAAGTGGAAGAGAAACTAGGTTTTCTCTCAGAACACGACTTATTTCATCTATAAAAACACCAAGAATTATCTGTAAGGAAATACTGTTTTTACCACTGTTCTGGTTTAAACAGCCATTGATACAGTACTTTGGATGTCCCCTTTGCATTCCAGGAACTATGAAATACTACTACATCTTTAGATACTAGACTTTAGTCTTCTTAACATGGTCATACACTGAATGTTATGAAGGCAATTTAAGCTTAAGTAAGTGGTAAATGTCCTTTGTTGAAGAAAACAATTTTACTTATCAATTTTCTATTGTAAAACTGTTGCATTATAAGTTATTCTCACAGACAAATAGTTTAGGTGTTTTACTACTCGGATCTGCATCAATTATATCCACATCTGGGAAAATTATTTAGTTTAAGAATATGTTAGGCTAAAATATTATGTTGCATATAGTGTTAATGACCATCTGAATGCAATTCTATTAGTTGCTTTTTTCCCTTGCCTTCTCTTTTTGAATTCAGTATTTTACTCCTGCAATGCAGTATCTTGGCACCAGCATGCTACAAATGAAAAAGTGTGTATATTTCAATATTAGAAATGATATAAAACCTTTTAAAAGTCTCCACCCCTGACTCCAATTACAGCTGGAGTCTTCAGTCTCTTGCCAGGAGGTTCATGGCTTTTGAAAACACAAGAATCTGCAGATGGTGTGAAACCTTCTTCATCCATGAGCTCCTTACCACCCTTGGTAACCTGACTGCTGAGGGGCTGTTGCCAAGGTTGAGGCTTTGCTAGGCTTTTACATGTGTAGTAAAGACCAAAGACCTCAGGGACCAGCTCCTTGTCTTTGTGCAATGAGGCAGAGAATACTTTTCAAGAGCTACCTGCAATCCTTTTGGGTTTAAACCCCTACCACTCTCATACAGGTAGCTTTTGTCTGATGAGGTTGCCTTGATAGACATGGTAAGTCACATCTGCTGTGTCAGTTTCAGCTAGGACAAAACTCCTGTTGGTGTGGGAGGGAAGGTTTCTTAGGCAGAGATTGAGACAAGAAGGCAGCTGAACTGAAAGTTGTTCTTTTGAAGTGGCAAGCAGTTCTCACAGGCCTCTGAAATTCACTGCTTCTATTCCTGAAGGATTCCCAAAGCACCTCCAGCTCCTAAAAGTGGCAAAACACGTGGGCAATAGCTAGGTAGTGGTGAGTGATTTCTGACAAGCAACCTCTTTCCATACTCATCAGGAGTCTCCTCTCCACAGCTCACTTCTACAGTATTTTTACAGCATGTTGGTTTGTTCCTGGCTAGTAAGCTTTTTCTTTTTCTCTTGTTCTTTTTTTTTTTTTTTTTTTTTTTTTTTTCCTCCCCCATTCTCAAGTGTTGTTTTCTGGTTCTGAAATTGGTCTTCAGGAACCTATATGCTTTGTATGTGTGACCTGATGTCTCTAATCAAATGTAAATACACACAGTTCTGAGAGAAACATCAGACTTGTATGTAGACTTGTTTATGTCTTAGTTAGGCTGGAAGGGGCCTTTGGAAGTCATCTAGGGCCATCTTCCAAGCTACATCAGATTTTCTCAGGGTTTCATCCAGCCAAGTTTTGAGAAGATGAAGATCCTGCAGCCAATCTGGACAACCTGGCCTAGTGCACACCAATTTCAGAGAGGAATAAGCTTTTCCTTGTGTCCTGCCAGTCCTGCCTGGCTACAACTTTTGTCTGTTGCCTTGAAGTTTCATGAATATTCAAAAAAGGCGAGAAACTGATAGGTCCTTGCTGTCCATTAACATAACCCCACATGCATAGTTCAGAATATGGTGCAGAGGATGTGGATTTTACTAGTAAATGTAACTAAATTGGCTTATTAACTAAGAAAATCACTAGTGTATGTTCCATTTTGCTCTCCTTCCTCAGAACCTCTGGATCATCTCTACTTTCTCGTCCGTTGCTTCTGTTCTTGGTTGTGAGTTCTACTCATTCCTCATCCCTGAAGCTGCAAATTTGTACTTCCAGAAAACACTGCTATGTTACTGTTTCTTTATGCTGAAACTCTCACCTGGGTATTCACTTCTTCTTGATATGTTCATAGCAACTTTGAACAGGAAGTTTCAGAGCAATGTTGTTATCTCCTCATTGTTTTACGTGGTTCTGTAGGTTCTGCCCAGTGGACTAGGGGACCACTTTCCTGAGAAGCTGATGTGATGTCCAGACATAAAGTGTTTTTGATGTTGTTGTTTGTGGGTTGGTTGTTTTTTTTCAACTTTTTTTTCTTTGGATGGGGGTATTCAAATTTTTATTTTTAGGACTCATTGGTAGAAATCATCATTTTGGAACAGGTGTTTCACAGTGACCTGTGGGTTAGGAAAACATAATTTATATTTACTAATTGAAGCAGAGGCTATAGGATGTAAAACAATGTCTGGGATTTCAAGACAGAACCTGGAGTAGCACTGCCTTTCCAGCATTAGAACAGTACCTGAAAAGAAACATTTGCCTCAGAAAAGCGGATGTCTAGAAGAGCATCAGATGAAGTTAAAGAAGAGAATCAGAGCATCAGAAAAAGTTAGAAGGAGAAATAACTTATCTTCTGAACTGAATCACAATTCTCATGTTTGCTGACAACTTCTTTCTGATGCTTAATGTAACTGAAACTTTTTCCCCTTACACTACAGAAACAGCATATTCTTGTCGTGCAGCTGTTGCTCACTGTGTTTTCCTCCTGCTTTGGGTGGATTTTCCCATGTTCATATCCACAGCTTTTGACTCCTGTCATTGAACAGCTGCAGGGTGATACTAGTTAAAGTTGATTTTTTTCTGTGTTCGCAC